GTTGAAATGGCCTTCCAGGGGCTGAGCTGCCCGACAGTATTGCCATCCCATGTTCCCTCCTACCATGCCATTTCTTAAGCCTTTATGTGGAAATGGGTTGTCTAGAGCTAGCAGCACTGTTCTTCTAGCATTTCTTTACAGTTGTAGCATCCTAAGAACTGTGAAGAGCAAGTTTCCCACAATAACTATATTTTCTTTCCTTTTAAATTTTTTTAAGTTTTAAAAGATTAATTTAGAATCTACACCAGAATTCCTGTTGCTGTTGAAAACACTGCAATCCCAACAAGGTGAGAGACTTGCCCTAGAAATTCCACGGTCTGTTGCACATTTCTAGTTGTTTAATATTGTCTGAAAATATGCAGAGGAACATCTCTTCAACAAATCAAGAAAGCAATAGATCAATAGACTCCTTTATAATTTTTTATTTTGCTTCCTCAGATAGTTAATGTTTTTAAGAGCTTCCTTACAGTTTTTTCCAATACCATTTTCTACTGGAATTTTGCACTTTTTTCCAAGCTTCCAATAATCCAGAAAGGTTTTGCAACTTATTTAATAACCTGTTTTCATTCCACTTGCACATTAAAGCTCGTCTTGCCACACCACATCCCGTTTGCAATGGGTACTGAATAATAAGACTTGCTGCAGTTCTTCAGTGGTGGCCTGTGGTGCTGCCAGCACAAGACAAGAGAGCACCTTTGGAGTGTTTAAGATGGTTTGTCCTGTTTGGACTTCCAGTAAGAGGTGGGTATCCTTCAAACTGTAGGGGGACGCACAAGTCTGTTATTACTTCCTGAACCACCAAAAGGAGGTAAGGAAGGGATCAGTTTGGCTCATATCACATATATGTCAATTTTATCTGTCCTAAAACATGAATGACACCTGTCTACAAGACCTTTCTGCAGTATGACCCAGAATGAAAGGTCCCTACTACCTCTTTACCAGTCCATTGCCCACCACCCGACAACAGGCATAACCATTTAGGTCAATTTAACAAAAAAAAGAAAGAACAACTGTTCAACATCTGATAATCACAACACTCCCCAAGAGCATGCACTGCAAGTTCTATGTTTAACAGTCACACTGATGTGCAGGAATAACCTCAGTGGAATAGAACACATAGCCAGTACCTGATATTAGAATTCAGTTCACATATTTTAGGGCTTAGTTTTATCAGGAACTAGTTTGCTTGCTTTTCACAAAAGGTCTGCATTAAATGAAGAAATCAAATTTTGCAATACAATTTTTTATGCTACTTTTTGCTGAGAAACAGCACATGAAATTTCTACAGAAAAGTTGTTAAGGACTGTAATTCTTCTTCTCCTATACTTAAAAAAAAAGTGGAGGGAAAGCTTTTCAATTGGTACAATGCAATGGTACTCAGAAAAGTCCTTAAATTTAATATCTGGGATGCAAATGAGGGGAGCCTACATTAAATTGCACTTTTCCAGAAACAGGTCCTTCTTTCTGTGATAATCAGTGAAATTAGATGGAAACAAAGCAAGGTAACAAGTCTTCTCTCCTACCAGAAGAGGACGTTCTATCTTTATTTGAGTACTTGCTCAGTGGGAGAGGCCACTGAGAGTTGTGTGAGAAACTGCATGGGATGATGCATACATACATTCAGGACCACAGGAGGGTGTCTGAGTCTTTTTCCACTCCTTGAATGTTAGATTACCAGGACAGGCCTTCCCATTTGATCAAAATCCAGATCCATTCCAAATAATCAGTTTTGTCCTAGAGTCCCATCCACAACCCAAAAAATTTTATTGCAGACATGTTCCTTATCAAAGAGGGGGTTCCAGGCTGGACCACTCCTGATACGAGCAACCGCTCTTCTGATAGGCAACAGAGTGAGGGGAAGGGCGTAAAAGGTAATGTTATACTAGTACAGTGAATACTGACATCACAAACTCAATATTCCATGTACATGTATGTATGTATGTGCGTGTCTGCATCTGACATCACAAACTCAATATTCCATGTACATGTATGTATGTATGTATGTGTGTGTCTGCATCTGTGTGTGTGTGTATGTTAATAACACATGTTCACAAGGTAACTTTTCCTCCTTCTCCATATTTTGCTGCTATTTTATTCAGAGGCCAGACACTTAATATTTTGTATTATGGAGTTTGCCATAGCTGTAGCTGTGGCTATAGCTCTATTAGAAGTAGAACACAGAAATATGTAAATTGAGAGCCAAATCTGAACTTTCTGAAAGTCTGAGATGTAAGTATGTAAGGGTTTTTTTTAAAGGCTCTATTATTCTAAGATCAGGGCCAGCTGCAAAGATTGGATTCACATCCAAAAGCCTATATTAAAATGCATACATTTCTTGGTAGAAAGAAGTTGTGAAACCTGTCAGACTGAAAACAACACTCTTTTCTTGTGCTGCCTGACAGTTCAGTTACAGATCGACGCTATTGGTTTTTTGGTAATTTAAATATGATTGTTGGCAAAGCAGAAAGGGGCGGGGGAGTCAGAAAGAGTGGCACACACAGTGAGAAAGAAGAAAGCATTTCTGATTACATAATATGTCCCTGGCATGTTCTTACTCACAAACCCAGTATCTAGCATTTAAAAAAAGAAAAAAATTTTTAAAAAAAAGGGAAAACAATGAAAGAAACAGCAGCTGTTTCTAAGTGATGTCAGAGAACAGGTGTGATACAAATCTCCATACCAGCGCAATCATATTGATCTCCCGATGATGCATGCATGAAGCACGTGTAAACCTTATCGACCCATTCTGTGTTTCATTTCCAGGAACACGGCCTGAAAACGCCCCTCTATAACTGAAAACATTTTCAGGATAAACACCGTATTGGCCAATTACTAAAAAACATACACAAACGGAACACGGGAAGGTGAGCTGACCCCGCAGCCCTCCAGGCAGCCGGGCAGTGCCGTGCCGGGCTGTGCAGCGCCGGACCGCGCTGGACCGCGCTGGGCCTGGCCTGGCCGGGCCGAGCCGAGCCGAGCCGAGCCTGGCCGCCGAGCTCGGGAGCAGCCGCCTGCGTGCCCCGCGCTGCCGCCGGGATCCCCCGCGCCTCCCCCGGGACTCCTCCCGGACCAGCCCTGGCACCGATGCTGCCCCGGGCCGTGCTGCCTCCCGACCTATGCGGCGGATGTGTCCGGAGCCCCACGGGGACAGCGGCCCCCGGGGCAGCCCCCGGAACACCTTGCGGCCGGGCTGCGGCGCTGCCCGGGGCCCGGACCGGCGCGGGCAGGGCCGGCTCGGGGCCGGGGCCGCTCGGGCGCTGCCGCTGCGCGGCGCCGCCGGTAGAGGGCAGTACGCACCCCCGCATGAGCGCGGCTCCGGCAGCCGGCGGCAGGGGCGGGGGGCAGGGGGAGAGTGGCACCAATCTGGGAAAAGATTAAAAGGGATGTGAAGTCCCGGAGCTTCTGAAGTGCTCAAAATGCCCGGGAGATGCTCAGGACGAGGATCATAATACTAATAACACACAAAAAAAAAAAAAAAAAAGGAAAAAAAAAAAACCCAACAACAACAACATAAAAAAAAAAAAAATGCAGCGAGGTCAATCATTTACCAGTCTGCTCCTTAATGCGTGTGACCGCAGGTGGTACCGAGGGACATTGTGATTCATGCCCACTTTCAAAGCGGGACCAGGGCCCGGCCTGAGGCACCCAAACAACTGTCTTCTAATATTAGCACGGCTGTATTTCTGGATCTATTATAGTCTGTCCAGACAGATCCCATTGTAATGGGATCTTTTATTAAAAGATTAGCACTATCTCCTGCAGTTGGTGGAAAAAAATCTGTTATCACTGAGTTATTTGCAGTTGTGGGGAGGGGGCAGTCGGGAGGGGGCGGCGGGGGGCGGGAGCGGGGAGGAGGAGGGGTGTGGGGAGGGCCGGGCGGAGGGCGCGGGCGGCCGCGGCGCCCCGGCCCCTGACCCGGCACTGTCCGGGCATTCCTGTCTGCATACTTCGCAGTCTGTTGTGCTTTGGTGGCTCAGAAAAGCGAAAGAATCGAAATTTAAAAGGCAGCTTTTGAATAAACAATACCATTTTCCGTTAAGTAATCGTTTTGTATAAAAGGAAATATCGCCTACTCAGTTTCATTCAGCGGTGCCAAAAAATGTTATAAATGAGAGACCGCCAACTTTTCTAAGGAGAGAATAATGCCAGACTGTGCTTAATAAACTAGTGCCCTAGAAGTTCATTATCGATGTTGCAATCTTTCTGTTTCTGAAAGGAGACCGCCTACATCGCCCCCGTTCCCGTCTCGTCCTCCCGGGCTCTCCCAGTGAAAACCCTATCAACCGGGAACGGCCCTAGGTATTAAACTTTTAGCCGGTTCAGTCTTTTGGGGGTTTAGGGTTTTTTCAGGTTTGGGGCCGGTCGATCGGGGTTCGGGGTTTCTTTGGGCCGGGCGATGTGTCCGCCCGGCGGTGCGGGCAGCGGGATGTATGCTCCGCAGCCACCTCGCGCGGGGACCGCGCCCGCGGAGCCGGCTCCGGGCGGGCGGGCTCCGCTCCGCGCCCCGGCAGCACCCCCGGCCCGCCGGAGCGACCGGGGCGCCCCTGGGGCGGCCGCGACCCCCGCGGGTCTCCAGCCCCCCGTGGCGCTTGCGCGGCCGCGGCGGCTCCGCGGCGGGGCCGGGGCCGGGGCCGGGGCCGGGGCCGCTCCCGCCGCTGCCCCCGCCGGCGGCTCCGCCGCTCAGGGCTGCGCGGGTGCGCGCCTGTGTGTGCGTGCACCTAGAGCGGATAATTGGAGAGGGTTTCCAGAAGGTGGAAAATGTCACCTGATTCACACTGAACTTTTTAAATCTCCCCACCCCCGAGCAGACACACACACACATTAGGAGACCGCCCACCGCAGACAGCTAGGACCCCCGTATAGATTTAAAGAGAGACTGCATTCAGAGCCTGACGTTCATTCAATAGAGCGATCATAAGCAGGCTGGCTAGTGCTCGCTCCCTCTCCCTACTCCCCCTCACGCTGTCTCTGCGTCTCTCGCACTCCCTGCTATACTGAGGATGTTAAATCAGAGAATCCACCCGGGCATGCTCTTAATCCTGATGTTTCTGTGCCACTTCATGGAAGATCACACAGTGCAGGGTAAGACCAGACTTTATTCGCAGATACGTTTCTTTATTATTACTAATGTTTTCTGTCTTTCGGGCACGGCTTAGTTTGCTTGCGGTGTTAAACGCCTCTCTCCAAGGTCCAAGAGAACAGAAGTTAACTGTGGGCTTTGCAGCGAGGTGCAGAGGTGTCATTTAGATCCCTTTTTGATCGGATCTTCACACTGCTCTGTAAAGGCACAGAGGACAGATAGGATGTTTCTTGTTTTTTATTGTTATTATGCAGCATGAATGAAGAGCAGCATCGTGAGGGAACTTTCCCAGTCTCGGCTGCCGAATGAATGCACAAAGTTTGTTGGTAATTTAGTTTAGATTTTTATCTCTCCTGACTGACTGAAGGAGAGGTGATGATGGAGAACCCCACGATTACAGCTGACATTTTTAGAAACCAATAAGTGGTCATTTTACTGACTTTAATATTGGGATATCCTCCTCCTCCCTACTCTTTTTTTTTTTTTTTTTTTGGGGTGTGTGTCTGAATAAATATTAGCGTTGTAAATTCTCCTGCACTGAAGAGTATGCTTGAATAAGTTGGTGGTTGGGTTTTTTTCTTTTTCGTGCGAACAAAACAAACCCGAACCTGATATTGACAACTCTTAAGAGCCCTCTTTCGACACAAGGGAATATTGATCTTTAGTTTGGGGGTTTTTCTCCTTTTTTTGACCATGTTCCAGCCACAACCTGGACGTCTTGCCATTGCTTCTTTTATAATTTTTCTTTTATTTTTCCCTTTCCCAGTACTGATATAGATATAAGTTAATCTAACGTAGGCAACTGTAAAACACAAACCTGTTTTCTTTTTTTAATAAGGGAATTGTGTGTTCAGTGATTTTTGTTGGGGGGGTGGCGAGGGGGGGTCTTGCCCCGCGCCCAGCAACATCTCCGCTGGCCGATCCCGGCCCCTCGCTGCGGTACATTCCCATCGGAGTAAGGAGGCAGGATCGAGCCCCGGCTGGATTAGCAGCAGAATCAATTGGTATTGAGTTGCTGGAGAAGTCACATTGGTTATTCACGAGAGACTCATCTCAACTAAAATGCTTCAGCTAAAAAAGGGGGAGTTGCTTGGACTAATGTTCTTGGCTTGACTCCACAAATAACAGGGATACTAGAGGGGGGAAAAAAAGGCAAAAAATAACCCCAAGAAAACCCACTCTATCCGGTGTAAGGATAGTGTACTTTCCTCTGAAATGTTTGCAGGAAGAGATGGCACCTATAACTTTTCCAGCTTGATCGATTTTTAAAACTCTATAGGGACCTCCTACTATAAGTGTCCTTGTATTTTATGTACTTTGCTCACTTTTTTTTTGGAACTCTGCTGAATTATTTTAGTGAAGGAGACATTTGTTAATAGAAACAGCAAAATGTGGCGATTTCGAAAGACTTCGCTAACAGCAAATGTTCCCAATTCGTGCAGATTGCAAAATGGGCTGGGAGTGAAACTGTGCGGCACTAAAACAATGCTGCTGTGCAGCCGCGGTGAGGAGGAGAGGGCAGGGGGAGGAGGAAGGAATTTGCAAGCGCGATTTTCTTTTTATTCCCTTTTAAATGCACATCCTTTTCAAGCCTCTGTCACGTGTCGGCAGTGCTCCTTCTGCTCTACATATGGAATAAATACCTCCAAAAACTCTCGCTCTGTTTTGGTTGGGTCTTCTCTTTCTTTCTTTCATTTTGTTTTGTTTTGTTTTGTTTTGGATTTTGGTTTGTTTTCTTGGTTTGGGTTTTTTAGTTCTTTTGTGGTTTTGGGGAGGATTTTTTTTGTTTGGTTGGGTTTTGGTGGGGGGGGGAGGGTTTGTTTGTTTTTTAAACTGCGCTTCCAAATGGGCCGTAGTAGCTGCGGGTTATGAAACGGGACAAATAAAAGGAAACAGTCTAGTAAAAGTCACGGCAAGGCGCACGTGCTGTGTCTGGGTCACTGGTGGCCGCCACTGATCCGTCTGGGTGTCCCCCCCGCCCCCCGCCCCACAGCTGGGAACTGCTGGCTCCGGCAGGCGCGGAACGGGCGCTGCCAGGTCCTCTACAAAACCGACCTCAGCAAGGAGGAGTGCTGCAAGAGCGGCCGCCTGACCACGTCCTGGACGGCGGAGGACGTCAACGACAACACGCTTTTTAAGTGGATGATTTTTAATGGGGGAGCCCCAAACTGCATCCCGTGCAAAGGTGAGGGGGTGCTGGCGAGCTGCTCCCTGCTGAGGAGCGGCTCCGGCAGGGGCTGGGCTGGGGGAGGAGGAGCGGGGCGGGAGCTGGAGGGGGGCAGCGCTGTCCTCCCGCTTCCTTCCTCGTCGGGGTTTTGAGGGACGTCTCGTACCAGCCCCGGGATCGCGGGGGGACCCCCATGTCTGCCCGCCGCCTTGCACATCACGAGGAGGAGGGGAGACACCCTCTCTCCCCCCTGCCTCCGCTGGCGGAGGGAATCTACCTCGAGCGGCGTGTCCTGGAACGGGAGGGAGGGGTGTTGCTGCTCTGTGCTCTGGGTTCACGGTGTCTTTTTTTCTTTAAGCAGTTTTGACACCAGGTCTCTTCTGCACGCTTGGTACTAAAGTGGTGCCTCTTTCCTTCCATCAGAAACATGCGAGAATGTGGACTGTGGACCCGGGAAGAAATGTAAAATGAACAAGAAGAACAAACCTCGGTGTGTTTGTGCTCCGGATTGCTCTAATATCACTTGGAAGGGCCCCGTGTGTGGCTTAGATGGGAAAACCTACAGGAACGAGTGCGCCCTTCTCAAAGCCAGATGTAAAGAACAGCCTGAACTTGAAGTCCAGTATCAGGGCAAATGCAAAAGTAGGTTTGCAAATCTAATCCAATCTCCCTCAAATGCCAAAGGGTGTCTGTCTGAGAGTAGGGAGGAGTTGTTGGATGGAGTTCCTCACAGGAACCAGGCTGGGGGAGAGTAACTAGACCATGCTCAGTAGACAAGGATGTAGCTGAACTGAGAGCTCCCCATAGTCTGGCAGCACTTGTGTTCACACAGCTGCCCTGAGATATGAAGGCATCCTCCAGCAGCCCTTAAACGAGGAGAGCTGCTGAAGGCTTTTATGTGGTCATTTGTTCTTGTTGTCACCTATTCACTCCTCACTGGCATCCTGGTGTCTTCTACTAACCAGTGTGTTTCTGTCTGTATTTCAGAGACCTGCAGGGATGTCTTATGCCCAGGCAGCTCCACATGTGTGGTTGACCAAACCAACAATGCCTACTGTGTGACATGTAACCGAATTTGTCCAGAGCCTACCTCCCCTGAACAGTATCTCTGCGGGAATGACGGCATAACTTACGCCAGTGCCTGCCACCTGAGGAAAGCTACCTGCCTCCTGGGAAGATCCATTGGATTAGCCTACGAAGGAAAATGTGTCAGTAAGTATCTTTGGAGGAGACTGAGTGTGGAGGGCTTCCTCAGTCGCCTCTTTCAGAGTACCCAGTGTGTGTAACTGGAGGGATGTAGTTAGTGCTGGGGAAGGAGACGTCAGCAGCTTGGGCCAGTGCTCCCTTCCCAGAAGATGAGAGCCTGGGGTGAACTTAGTCCTGGAAAAGATTGCAGTAGAAGTGAGGGAGAAGAGGGCCTGATCCTGCTATGTCTGTGAGTGCTGACATTAGTATCCAATGGAGAAATAGCCTCCCTGAAATAGATGATGAGATGGTTACGATGTAATAAGGTCACCGTATTCAATGGGTCTGTATTCCTGGAAACAATTGTCTTCAAGTGGTCTTGGCAAAGACTACATTAACTTAATTGAAAACATCTGATCACTTTTTCCTCTTTAGAAATAATTGTGGGCTTTGGAGACAGTGGGTGGGTGAAGATAGGCAAATAATTTCTGTGCAACCTGACAATCTGTGTTGGAAGTGATTCCAGAAAGGATTGATAGCGCAGTGTATTATGAAGAAGCACCTGCAGGGCAGCCTCTAATCCCAAAACTGCTGTGGGAATTTGGGGGAGTCTCAGGTTGCTTTAAGTTTGCATAGGTTGAGGTGAATTCCCTTTCAAATCTTGTGGACAACTGCTGTCTGTGGGTTAGATTAAAAATAATAGATTTAGAAATGCTGGACCTGTTGACAAATCCTGCATTTACCACTAATTTGGGGAGCCAAATTTCCACTGACATGAAATGGAGCAGGAAAGTCATGTACAATAGGCAAATGTAATTCTGTATTCCCAGGGCCAAGCTTTGCTGGCACAGCTGTCTTTCCTCCCCCACATATAGACAGGCACTGTTGTCCAAGGAAATACTTGCTTGAGCAAAATCAGCAAGTAAGATCACATCTACTATATCTGAGCTTTCTTTTTTCACTGTTAACTGGGGAAAGGGAGGTTTTGGGGGTTGCTTGTCTTTGCTTTGCTTTTTGCTTTGTCTTTTCACTTACCTCTAGTATTCTGTGTGTATTTTTAGAAGCCAAATCCTGTGAAGACATTCAATGCAGTGCTGGGAAGAAATGCTTGTGGGATTTTAAGGTTGGCAGAGGTCGGTGTGCCCTCTGTGATGAGCTATGCCCTGAAAGCAAGTCAGAAGAAGCAGTGTGTGCCAGCGATAACACAACTTACCCGAGCGAGTGTGCCATGAAAGAGGCAGCTTGCTCCATGGGTGTGCTTCTAGAAGTTAAGCACTCTGGATCTTGCAACTGTAAGTGAGATTTTTAACTCTGCAGACACTTAAGGCTTCTGAAGGCGATACCTAGGTAATGAAGACTTACACCTTTAAACATAAGAAAGATTGATTTATTGATTCAAGGTACAGTAGAATATAAGTATCTATCTTTCACGCACACACTTTGGTTGCTGATAAAATGCAATAGATCTCCAACAACGAGCTGGCCTTCAAGTTGGAGTTTTTTGGGGATGTTCCAAGGACAAGCCATTCTATCAGAAAGGGGTTGCCCGAGGAGTGTAATTCTAGTGACTTTTTTTGTACATTGTCTGCTCTCGTGTGCTTTGCTGATTGCTTTATTAACACCTGGATAAACTCTTAACTCGATCCAAAAGAACAAGCCTAAAGGTAGTATGTGGCACCTGGTTTAGCACAGTTGCCTCTACTAACTCTGAATGAAGGACACAAAGCAATTAAACTAAAACACCAGAGCGCTTTTATTTGATTTCAGGAATCTGCCAATAAAACCTGAGCCATTGATTCTTCAGAACTTTCTGCAGTTATGACTTCATAGATTATGTGTAAAAAACCTTATTGCATAACAGCAGATGCCAAAGAGCATCTCACTACAAGTCGCATAAAATGCAACGCTGTATTATGGCTGTTCAGAGGGCTTTCAAAACATGCACTGAGCTGCTTCTGCGCTGTTGTTGTCCTTATTTAAACAACAGCTCCCCTGTATTCCCCCATATAGCAATTAATGAAGACCCAGAGGATGAAGAGGAAGATGAAGACCAGGACTACAGCTTTCCTATATCTTCCATTCTAGAGTGGTAAAACCTCCATCACTATTGAAACAGCCATTGGGCACAAAATCAATGTCCGTACTGTAAATAAGTGTATGCTTATTTATTTTGGGGAGAAAAAAAAAGTATACATATAGTTGAGTCTCGTAGACATTTATTTATACTGTGTCATGTTTTATAATTTATACATAAAATGTCTGGTTGACCGTACACCTTGTTTTTTGAAGAAATTTATTCGTTACGGGAAGAGCAGTGTTATTTATTGTGAGGTCTCTTGCTTGTAAAGTAAAGCTTTTCTTTTTTCTTGCAAACTATAAAAGTCCATTCCTTAGAGCCTACCCACATGATCTCATCTCTTTGTTTCACTGATGTTAACTCTTTTCCACTTTAACAAACTTGCATGTCAGTTTCTGTTACATTTATTTATTGGATTTTCTTTTTGCCGGTTCTCTACGTAAAAGATCCCGTGTTTTTGTTTACAAGGAATCTTGACTGACCAAAAGGCATTGTAACTGACTAAAGTATACTGTCAAGGTGCAGTGAGGCAATCTTTAAGGAAACTTCTTACACTTCACCTTCTCTACTTCTCATCACATTGTGTACCGAAATGATGTCAGTGTACTGAGAGTTTATACTGTACTATACAAATTTTGAACCCAAAGAAATTGGATTGTGAAGTTTGATAACATCTACAGGCCTAACTGTAATAAGAATAAAGGTTTTATTTTATTTTTATTGTTTTAATTTTTTGTCACATGCATAAGTGTTTTATCAGGTGTTTCCTTTAAGATGGTCTTGCAGTACCACTTTCAAAATTTTCTTTCCCAATCGGTGTGTTGCTAAAAGTTATATCAAAGCTTTATCAGTTCAAGTTTCTTGCTTTTCATAATACTTTTTTTCTGATGCAATTTTATATTTTCAAACATGGCGAGTTAAATATAAATTCATTTAAATATATAGTTTTGTACTTTTCTACCATGTAAATGTGCAATGTATATAAAAGTTATAATGTGTATTTGTAAATAAATGATGAGTGAAAAAAAAATAAAAAGTGGAATTTTCCCTAGAGGCAGTCCTTAGTCTTTCATTCTGAATGGTTTTGGTCCTCTGGATTCTTTTGCACCATGCAACACCACTTAAGGCCAAAGCTCTCAGCCCACATTGATATAAGAAACCCTCTTTTCAGATGTGAACAATGTCTCCAGTTCATTACTGCTTAAGCATAGTCATAGAGGAGAAGAGATTGGTCTTTTTTTTTCCACTCTCAATCCTCTTAACAGGAAGTCTGTAATTTCATAGAATCACAAAATGTTTTGGGTTAGAACAGACCTTAAGACTGTCTAGTTTCAACTCCTCTACCATGTGCAGGGACATCTTTCACTAGACCAGGTAGCTCAGTGCCCCATCCAACCTGGCCTTGAACACTGCCAGGGATAGGGCATCCACGGCTTCTTTGGGCAACTGTTCCAGTATTCCACCACCCTCAAAGTAAAGAATTTCTTCCTAACACCTAGTTTCAATTTCTCGTCTTTCAGAGTGTACCCATTCCTCCTTGACCTGTCACTCCTGTCCCTGTCAGAGAATCCCTCTCCAGCTTCCCTGTAGGCCCCTTCAAATACTGAAAGTGTCTGTGAGGGTTCCACACAACCCTCTCTTCTCCAGGCTGAGCAACCCCCACTTTTTCAGTCTGTTTACACAGGAGACATGCTCCAGTCATCTTACAAACCTCATGACCCTCCACTGGCTTTGCTCTAGCAGTTCCATGTCCCTCTTGTATTGATGACACCAGAGCTGGATGCAGTGCTCCAGGTGGGGTCTCAGCAGAGCAGAGCAGAGGGGTAGAACCCTTCTCTCATCTGCTGGCCAATGCTGCTTTGGATGCAGCCCAGGATTCCCTTGGCTCTCTGGGCTGGGAGCACTCACTGCTGGCTCATGGAGAGATTTTCATCAGTCACCACCCCCAAGTCCCTCCCCTCGGGGCTGCTCTCAATCACTTCTCTGCCCAGCCTGTGGGTGTGTCTGGGATTGCCCCAGTGCAGGTGCAGGACCTTGCCCTTGGCCTTGCTGAGCTCCCTGAGGTTTGCATGGTCCCACCTCTCAAGCCTGTCCAGGTCCCTGTGGATGCCATCCCTTCCCTATGCTGCCCCACACTTTTTTAGACATCTTTTACTTTCATATTCCTAGGAGAATTCAAATATGTGTTTGGATTTTTATCTATTGGTCATCTATCATTTTTATCTATTGGTCATCTAAATGGATAGATTTGGTCATCTATCGATTTAGATGACCAATAAAAAAAAGCAAAGCAGAATTTACTTGCTCAAATTCAAGATGTGTAATAAATACGAAAGGAAAAAAAAAAAAAGAAATCTAACAAATAATCTGAGAGCACTCAATCACTTGGAAATTATTTTTCTCCCAAGAGGAAATTTAATTCAGAAATTCTTTTTGGTCAACCTATATTAAGACTGGACACTGTTTGAGACTAGCTACTACTGCAGTGAATTGAGGAAAGGTAACCTGCATATGTAGAGCAGGAACCAAAATCCTGTTCAGTACTACCTGGTCATGTTGTTATCACAAGTAAGGCTCTACTTACAAAAATTTCCCTATCCTATTACATAAAACATAAAAAATTATTTATGCATCTTATTCGAAAGTATTTTAAGTACTTTTCTAAACTGAGATCTGATTTACCCTTTTAGTTTAAATACAAATATTTGAAGAATTTCCTGCTATAGTCTTCTGTATATTTTCTACTGCATATAAGATTCTAGTTTGTAATTAATTGTTTAGCATTACCCAAAGCAAACATAATTTATTCATCTCTGAATATATAAAAACTACAAGCATGAATTTATAATATTGTATTCACAGTAACAGCAAAAATATTTGCCCTTCTGTTACCTCATGTTACCTCCTGTTACCTCATTTAGACAAATAGTCTCTTTGGACGGAAGTACAGGGTGAGTAGAGCTAAGGGAGCAGGATTTTGATCTCCTGTGGGAATAAAACCCAAAATAAAAGAGAACAGGGGCCAGGAGAACAAAGATATGGAAAAAGAATCTATTGGAAAGCCACTCAAGGAACCTGTCAATGACAGAGAAACAACCTGTTTAATAGATAGAGTGACTATGAGAGAAGATTTTTTCTATATTCAGTTAGGTGCCAGCTACTTCATTTCCAACAAAACAACAACATTAAAATACTGGTTTTAATTGTAAATATATTTACATATCTTATAGAGAGACTGTAGCAGAGCAGGATTTCTGGGTTCTAGTTTTATGTCCTGTTGCTGGTTCACAAAATACCTTGGAGAACACTACCAATGGACAAATTCAAAAAAAGAAACAAAAATTCCAAGATATACAAGTACATGTATGCTAAATGGCCACAAAAAACTACCTCAGGTTTTTGCTGATCAAATTATTTAAAAATTCTGAAACTGCATCTCTCATTTCTACTGCTATTTCTATACAGCTGAAAATCTTGAAACCTACCTTGCACCAAAGCCTGATTGTGAGGTACAGGTGTGGCATATCCTGAGAGGCTTCTGAAGTAAGCATCTTCTGAGCATGCCTACCATAGACCAGCCTTGTCATGAATCACAACAGCCCCAGAGACTTTCTCCCAGAACCACGTCCAGAGGTTGTGGAAGCACCATAGCCAACATTTTACATAATATCATACTTGTAGATAAGGCACTTGTTCTTGAATTGGGAGATGCAGGTTCACTGCCAGTCTCTTTCTGAGATCTTTCCCACATCTCCCAAGAGTGCATCCAGCACCAACTCAAGGTGAATCTCAGGCTGGAGAACTGTCTGTCATGCCTGCTGAAGCCATACTTCTGTATTGGACAGGAAGAAAGATTCATCGAGAGAGGATAATTTGCAACCCTAATAGTGCTCCTTTTGAAGAGGAAGTCCTGGGTTATTGCCCCAGGGGCTGCCTACACATTTTGCATTTGTAATTCAGTAACATGCATAAATAGTGCTTGAAGCAGGAGCCAGAATCCAGGTTGCTTCCCTTCCTCCTTCCCCCAGCAGGTATGTGTCTCCATCCTTGAGCTATGAAATCATGTTTAACTCTCTGCTTAAAGATTACAAATCTCAAATCAAGATTACAAATCTCAAATCTTTTTCAACATTGAGTCATAGTTACAATAGGAGTGAGAGGCTTTACTTTTTTCTTCCTCTCTTCAAGGCTTGTACATGGGGAAGTTTTTGGGAAATGGAAATGTGATTTTTATTTCCTCAGAAGGGGGGGTTGTGTGTGTGCATGCATGTGTGTGCATTTGTCTTGTTATGTTTTGTTTTGCTTCTTCTCTTAATGCACAGGCTACCCTGACTGTTGTTTAAATGAAGAAAAAAGATGTCTGGATGTTTAAGTACAGAAAGATATAAGAAGTTCTGAAGCCATGAGGACAAGCTCCTAAAACCAGAAGAGAAATAAATTTTCAGAAACATCTTTCTCTTCAGTGTTTTTTATTGTCTGGCGTACATATTCCCCTTGCTGTAAATCACATTTCTGAAACTCCTGGATCACCATGGAGTATACTTTTGTACTGAATCCCAGGTCTGTGAACTCCATTCACAAATGCAAGCAAAGTAATTTGGAGCAGAGTGTATGTGTTTGAAAACAGAACCCCACATTCTGGCACTAAAGTAAAATCACCTTAATTGTAAGAGACTCAGCTTGAGGCATTTGAGCAACAAGAATATTGCCTCTAAAGCCCTGGATCCCAAATGCATTTATCTGTGCAATTCAGGCAAAAGAGTATACTCAATTTTGGTCACACTCAAATGCATTTCTGATAGCTGCATTCTTCTGACAGACTTAAGAACAGTATTATAGACCTCTTTTGCACCTTTACATCTTTGCTTCCTTCTCCCTGCAACACACATCAAATAAGGCTACATTCCAAGCCTCTCTACAAATTTTAAACAGCTGCTATTTCTTTCATTTTCTTTTTCCTTTTCTTTCTTTCTTTCTTTCTTTCTTTCTTTCTTTCTTTCTTTCTTTCTTTCTTTC